TTCAGCGTTTTTATTTTACTTGAAACTTTGAAACTAATGTTAAGCCCTAGCCTACCTACGATTGTTCAACTCATCTCAATCCCTAACTTACCTACGAATTAAATTAAGTCTGGTAAAGAAAATAGAAAGTTGAAGAAAAACATAACAACGACACCGAATGAATGGATGTTGTGTATGTGTGTGTTTTACTGATGTGTGTGTGTAAATGTGCGGGCGTGTACTCTCCAAAAACTTCTTCACTCACTACGGACGAACCTCCATTGCACCGACCATCATCTGACACGCATCGATGGAATGAATTTGACCGGATACTGAAAAACACTAAATTAAAAAAAAAATAATTCTTTAAAGTAAAAAACAAGCCATTGGAAAAAAGGCAACTTATCTTATCTACCTACTTTTCTGACTACTTCTCCATCACTTGCGAAGTTCAGAGCGGATCTCAAGACCCATCTGTTTTCAAAATTCATTGAGGAGCGCTGTTGAACATCGCGGAAATAGAGCTTTATAAGCTAATTGATTGATTAAGATGACAAATTCGAGTACTTTCAATGGTACGATGGGACAAGAACAAATTTCTTTTAATATTATCTTCAAATTGTCATCGGAACGATCATCATGAGACCACCATCTGAAACATGCTGACGCCCACCACAGCCCACCTCTCATCATTCTGTAAAAAGATGTTTTTATTAGCTTAGTATTAAATCAAGGAACAAAGGAACGGACGAATAAATGATGAATTGAATGATTTAACGAATGAATAGAATGAATCAATTAGTAGAGGAATAATTTGAAAGATAGTGATAAAATGAATGAGAAAAATTAAAAAAAAACTAAGCCATACTTCAAAAATCGTCACTGTTGTTTTCTTCAAATTGTCATCGGAACGATCATCATGAGACCATCATGTGAAACGTGCTGACGCCCACCACAGCCCACCTCTCATCATTCTGTAAAAAGTTATTTTTATTAGCTTAGTAGTAAATCAAGGAACAAAAGAACGAACGAATAAATGATGAACTGAATGATTAAATAATTAGTTAAAAGAATGAATGAATGAATAGAACGAATTAACGTCAATTAATGGAAGAATAATTTGAAAGATTGAGGAAAAAAATGAATGAATGAGAAAAATAAAAAAAAAATAAACCTTACTTCAAAAATCGTCGTTACTTCAATCCATTGCACCGACCGCACCGACCACCACATTCAGATCGGCACACAAGATTTCATCCGAACTTCTGAGCGTCAGTCGAACAGCCAACGCGCTGATTCTTCCTACACCACCATCATACGTAAATCATCATGAGACCACCATCTGAAACGTGCTGATTCCCACCACTGCCCACCTCTCATCATTCTGTAGACAATTTTTTTATTAGCGTAGTAGTAAATAAATGTTAGAATCTTAGAAGCAAAAAATTATAAAATGGAAATAATGGCAAATAATAACTGAAAATAATAAAGAGATTAAAATGTAAAAAAGAACTTACCGTCGTCCATTCGAAAAAGGCAGAATGTTGAATGCTTTCCGGTTCCTACGTTGTCCTCCAAAACTGGTGCCAGTCCTCCTCGAGATTGTTTTTGAAACACAGCCCGTGGAATGGAAAAAGAGAAAATTCTCATCAGAAAGCTTAGCGGTGCTTGCATCTCAAATTGCTTAATAAAAATAATCCTATCTACCTATTCAATTACCTTAACTAATCTATATTAAATTGTTAATGGTACGATAGTCGAAAGTCCCCCTTCATTCTCCCTCCTTTGCACAGAGGTTCACCGACAGCCAGGGCACCGGATAATAAACCATTGCCGTGCGGATAGTAGACTATTGCCGTGCGGATAGTAAACCATTTGCCGTCCGGAAGCCGTGCGGGTAGTAGACTATGGCCATGCCGCATAGTAAATCATTACCGTGCAGATAGTAAACTATTGCCGTCCGGATAGTAAACCATTGCCGGTTCACCATTGGCCACCAAGGCTTACCTCTGACAACGGATTTTGAAATTCAGAGTCTATCGGCTATCGTACCCTCAGCTTACCTATTCATTACAATTAAGCCCTAGCTTACCTAAAATTACAAACCTCAAGAGCCCAATTCATTGGCCAATCGGCACCCACCCCACCACCTACGTAATGCCTTGGGCTCCAACTTAGTAATAATAATATAAAACTTAAACCCTGAATCTATAAATGAGTGTGTGTTACAACGTAGCCTTAACTTACCTATTCATTACATTATGGCCCTAGCTTACCTAAAATTACAAAACTCAAGAGCCCAATTCATTGGCCTTTCGGCACCCACCCCACCACCTACGTAATGCCTTGGGCTCCAACATAATAATAATATAAAACTTAATAATTAATCTACCTATCGATACACTTACAGCGTTTTAATTTACATTACAAGATTGTTCCTAGAATTACATTATTGCCCTTAACTACCTATGAAATTAAATTACTCTCAACCTTAGTAATAATAAATTAGAATGTGTAATGAAAATAAAATTACGCTCAAATACTAACATAAGTGTTTATGTATGTACTTTTGTGTGTGTGTGTAATAACGCTGATGCGTGTAATGTGGGTGCAAGAAAAAATAGAAGCGATAAACTTACGCGCCTACCTATTCAGCTACATTAGTGTTGGATGCTTCCTATCTATTTTACCTACAATTAAAATTATGCCTATCTAACTTACCTATATAGCTACCTAATGTAATTGTGTGTGTGTGTGCGTGTGAGCATTCTTACTTATTTTTAAATTACAGGGAAAAAAGAATAAAACGTATCCCAGACAGGCGTGTATTCCTTGCCACTGAATGAACGAACGTAGCCTGACATCTTCCATGATGAATTCCTCTGAAAGCTCCAAACTGAATGAAACGAATAAAATGAAAAAATCTCATTTATTTAATTAATTTAAATGAAAATAGAGAAACGAGCCGCAGTGAAACCCGCCAGCCGGAAAATCCAGCCAACTGGCAAAAGAAGGAACCGCAAAGAAACCGTAAAACGTACCCCAGCCAAGCGTGCATTCTTTGCCACTGAATGAACGAACGTAGCGTGACATCACAACCATTCTGATAATCCACGATGAACTTTTCTGAAGCTTCAACCTGAATGAATGAACCTGATTGAACCTAATGAATGGAAAATCTTATTTATTTAATTAATTAATATGAAAATAGAGAAACGCAAAGAAGCCGACCGGTCGGCAAAGAAAGAACCTCAAAGAAAGGTATCTATATAGGATTTATGCTCTATATAACTCTATATAACTCTATATAACTCTATATAACTCTATATAACTCTATATAACTCTATATAACTCTATATAACTCTATATAACTCTATATAACTCTATATAACTCTATATAACTCTATATAACTCTATATAACTCTATATAACTCTATATAACTCTATATAACTCTATATAACTCTATATAACTCTATATAACTCTATATAACTCTATATAACTCTATATAACTCTATATAACTCTATATAACTCTATATAACTCTATATAACTCTATATAACTCTATATAACTCTATATAACTCTATATAACTCTATATAACTCTATATAACTCTATATAACTCTATATAACTCTATATAACTCTATATAACTCTATATAACTCTATATAACTCTATATAACTCTATATAACTCTATATAACTCTATATAACTCTATATAACTCTATATAACTCTATATAACTCTATATAACTCTATATAACTCTATATAACTCTATATAACTCTATATAACTCTATATAACTCTATATAACTCTATATAACTCTATAACCATACATACCACCACATTCAATCAATAAAAATCCTACTAAAACCAGGAACCACCGTGTACCTGTTATATGTATGATGTGAAACAAATAAAAAAAAACAAAGCAAAAACACACCACCAAATAGAGTAAAAGAATAGAAGTCCCTAACCTACCTATGTAACTAAATTACCTTATGCCCTAGCTTACCTATATAATAAATTAATTTTTACCTCACCTACCTATGTTTCATTAACTTAACTTAAGACTCATGAAGAAAGAGAAAAAGGAGTAAAACAGAACATATAATACTACCACACAAACAAACATGATGTATGTATCTATGAGCAACCGCTAAAGAACCCACCTAAAATATAAAAAAATACAACATACAATCACACAAACCGCAGGCATGCAAACTCTATATAACTCTATATAACTCTATATAATAAAATAAATAAAAATAAAAAAATAAAATAAATGAGATCAGGCATTCTGCCTCATGCGAGGCAGAATGCCTGATCTGATTTTCATGCTGTCTCAGCTCCTATTTATACTCGTTTCAACCATACACTTTCACCATTTCAATCATTCACATCAGTAAAAAACTTATTTAATGTATGTACTACAGTATTATACAGTCTTGACCACAATGCCAACAGTACTAAATTGACGTCATCGAACGAACGCCTTCGAAATTTTCTGATTGGCTGGTTGAATCTGCAATATTGCTTTTTATATAAAACATATAATCTTATTAATTATTTGTATAAATGGATTCTAGTTACTTTATATATATATATATATATATATATATATATATAAATTCATTATAATTGCAACAGTAATCAATGCTACATATGTATGCCGCAGTTCAAAATTTTCGGGGAGAATTCAAAATAGTTTGAGATCACACCTTGCTTAACATTCGATTCCAAGCCGAGCCGAGCTAAGCTGAGCCATTATGCATAGATTTATAAGCGCTTTTATAATAAAATTATGCTCGCTTTATATATATAGTATATTAATTCCTTATAAACGCAACAGTCGTAATCAGTGCTACATATGTGCGCAAATTTTTCTGGGAGAATTCCAAATAGTTTAAGACCACACCTTGTTTAACATCCAATTCCAAGCCGAGTCGAGCCAAGCTGAGCCAATATGCATATAGAGTTATAAGCGCTTTTATATTAAAATTTTGCTCGCTTTATATAGACTATATAGTATATAAATTCATTATAAACGCAACAGTAATTAGTGCTACATATGTGCGCACGCAGTTCAAATTTTTCTGCAAGAATTCCATATAGTTTGAGACCACATCTTGCTTAACATCCAATTCCAAGCCAGCCGAGCCAAGCCGAGCTAAGCTGAGCTAATATGCATAGATTTATAAGCGCTTTTATATTAAAATTTTGCTCGCTTTGTATATATATAGTATATAAATTCATTATAAACGCAACAGTAATCAGTGCTACATATGTGCGCACGCAGTTCAAATTTATAATTTTTTATAAATTTTATTTGATGTTTTTTAATTAGTCAGGTCACAATCATCATCATCATCGATATCGCAATGAAATCAAATTGAGAATTTTTTATATTAAAAAAAGTATCTTTATTTATTTTATGATACTATTTTGTTCAATAAGATACTGTTTGATACATACAACTAGAATAAATATAACGGCCTTCGCTCACTTTCAACGGTTGATCAAGGAGCTTACTTCTGGAGGGGAGATGGAGGGTTAGGTTCGAGTCAAAAGTTACGATAGTATATTTACTAATTACGGAATATTGCTTTTATTTAAAATGTTAAAATTTTATTTTTTTTAAATTGTTATTCAATATGGTAATTAATTACTTTTATTTGGTATAAATTTAAACAAATAAAATCGACATTACCGAAAATAATTAAAAGTTGCAAAAATTGAGATTCTTTGCATATCCCTGCTTCAACCCATAAGAAAGTGTTGTTTAATTGTAAACCCCTTGTAACCACCACCCTCTTTCACAAATAAATGTCTGTCTACATCACTGATTACGTCATCCTGGGATAAACAAAACTCGTTTACTTTTAAAGGAGATATGTGAACAAGTTGGTGTGTCGGAATTCTACAGAGCAAATTATAATTTTACGTTATTATATTGAGAATATTTGATTCAAATTATTATGTTGAAATGTTATTAATTACTAATTAAAAAATTGGGTAAATAAGTAATTAAGGAAGTAATTAAATACGTGTTAGAAATTAATTAAATACCTCTATTATAATTATACGCCACGGCTATTATGGAAAATTTTCCTATTCACTTTTCGGCATTTAGATCAATTCAATTTAATTTAAATTAAATTAATTTTATTTAATTTGTATCAATTTAATTGATGTCAATTTAATTTAATCAAAAAGTTTAAAAATGGTAATACAAAATTCCAGATGTTTTAAAATGGACAATTCGGTAGAAAAGAATAATTATTAATCTTTATTAAATTAATAAATTATCGCGAAATCATCATTCGATACGCTGGGCGCGGCTGACCAGAGCAACGATGATTACAGTCGTAGCTATGTTAACTATTCTAAATATTTTGCTGGTCAGTGTCTGGTTAGTCTTAGCCGTTGCATCCAACATCAGCGATACTGGAACGAGTACTTTAAGCCTACCTTTTTAGAATTTTTTTTTTAGTTACTTTAGTTAGAACGATTACTTTGGTTCCATTTAGTTGTGATGAGTGAAGAATTCCATTAGCAGTGATTTTGTATTTTCTATTTAAAAATTATTAAATCTAACTTTACTAATTTATTTGCGTGTTGTTGAATCCGTATGAATACGTTCTACCTACACGACACATCACACGCGAAACACGTGGTAGGCGGGGATCTTCGTGTCGTATTCGAATTCGGTCAGTGAAACATCATCAGACGACCTTAACCACTAGGCCATCACGCTTCCCATATATGCCATGCCTAAGATGCACCTATATATACCATACTTAAATTGCACCTACATATACCATACTTAAGATGTAACTGTATATACCATACTTAAGATGTATCTATACATACCATACCTAATGTTCCATACCATACCATACCTAAAATGTTCCAATACATTCGACGCCTAGATTGTACGATGCTCTGCAAGGAGTATTGCGAGGTGTACATTGATGGAGTTGAGGTGCCCTTCAAGTCACGGAAGGCTGTTGAGTGGATGAGTGGCGTCTCCTTTTCCTTTTCCAACATCGAGGTTGCTCGTTTTATAAGCATTGAGCCATTACAACATCACAAAACCTCCCTCAACAATCAAACAACTCACCCACCACCTGCAGACCATAGCAGTGCACATATTCACCGGCCCAAGAGATCTAGGAGGACTGGCACTGGACTCGGACAGCAAGACATTCAACACCGGCGACGTAAGCTGGAGGTGTCGGATTGGTGATAACATGAGCGAGGATTGGTTTAAGACGGTTGGTGATTCAAAATTAATGCGCTTGTATGTCGTAAATTAGATCTCGCCCTGACTGGGATCAAATTCAAAGATGGATGCATGGATTCACACCCATTGGTTGGAGAATTATCCATGTAGATATAATGGTTAATGGATTTCATAATTAGTTAGTTAGCTAGCTGATGAAGGAGAAATGGTTTAAAACGTTTGCACTGTTCAGAAAAGGTATCATCGATAAACAAGCATCCAACAAATATAAAAGAAATCGATAATTGATCAACGAATTGTACATTAATTAATAATAATAATTAATATTATTAACTTATTTGATTTTTTTACCGTTTGGTTTTAAAGTTTTTGTTGATTATTAGTTTTACCTAAATTCGTCCTCAACTCTAGTACGTCAGTAATTCACCGAAAACACATTTACACGTATCCCCCGTTTAAACGTTTTTTTTACTATTTTTTTTATAATCCATTTTATTTATGATAAAATAATTTATTTTACTGAAAAAAAATTTTTTAAATATATACACTCAAATTTTGTTTAATATCCATTTTACCAAAAAATAAAAAAAAATTGTTGGCCCACCTCGAGTCAGGCGTTTGATGATTCAGACTGGAGGCCGGCTATAGTCATAGGGAACGTGACGATGTGTGGATCCTACAATCCCTTACATTATCCCAAATGTCCTGACAAGCGTTAGTTTATACAGATATCTACATCTATCCAGATATCCATATTTATCCATATATATATATATATCCATTTCATTAACATTTTACCAAGATATCCATATTTATCCATTCATCCATTTTTGTTATTGTTTATTCAGATATTCATATTTATCCATATCCATTATAACTTTTTTATCGAAAAGCTTGTTTTTCAAATATTTAAATTTGTCTATCCATTCACTCATCCATCCATCCATCCATTCACCCATTCATCCATCCATTCATTCATCCATCCATCTAGCAATCAGTCCTGAAACCTTATGGATCTGGGGTAGGAAAATGGAAGACAATTTCAAAAATTCACCACATACGTATTGTAGGTTGGTGGTGGTGATGATTATAGTGCTGCTGCTGATGAAGTTGATGATGATGATGAAGTTGATGAAGATGATGAAGTTGACGAAGATGATGAAGTTGATGAAGATGATGTAAATGAAGAAGTTGTTGATGATGATGAAGTTGAGGAAGATGATGAAGTTGATGATGATGATGAAGATGATAAAGATGAAAAAGTTGTTGAGGATGAAGAAGTTGATAAAGATGATGATGATGAAGATGATGAAGTTAAGAATGATGATAATGATGATGACACGAATCTCTCTCCAAATTTATCCACCTCTCAACATAGATGGAGAAAGGGAAGAAAAAACTTTGCAGAAGCCGCCGAGCCAATGAAGGAAAAACCGAAAGTGGAATTCTTTGGTAAATTCCGTAATAATAATACTATTAATAATAATAATAACAATAATAATAATAATAATGACAATAATAATTATAATTATAGTTTTTCAGTTTTTATTTTCTTTATATTTTTTTAAAGTTATTGTTGAGAATTGGTTCTACGCAATGAAGATAGTGTTGTTGTTGGCTTTCTCCCTGGGTGTCATGCTACTGGTTGTTCTTGGCGTCAAAAACAAGATGATGAATAAGAATGGTTGGTTGGTTGGTTGATTGGTCGGTTGGTTGATTGGTTGATTGATTGATTAAATGAATGAATAATTGGTTGGTTGGTTGAATGATTTGTTTGGTTGATTAAATGAATGAATAAATGATTGGTTCTTTGTCTGATTGTTTTGTTTTGATGGTTTACTGGTTGGTTGGTCAGTTGGTTGGTGGGCTGATTAGTTGGTAAGTTTGTTGGTTAATTTGTTGGTTGGTTGGTTGGTTGGTTAAAGGATTTGGTTGATTGTTGAAATGAATAGTTGTTTGGTTGGTTGGTCAATCGGTCAGTCAGCCAGTCAGTCGGTTGGTTGGTTGGTTAGTTGGTCAGTCAGTCAGTTGGTTGGTCAGTTGGTTGGTCGTCAGTTGGTTGGTCGTCAGTTGGTTGGTCGTCAGTTGGTCGGTTGGTTGATTATGTGTTTGATCCAAAAATCTATTTCACATTCAATCATTGAACTTTTTCATTTTTCTCACCAGTGAATGAGCAGTGAAGATCGCTACAGGAAATTAATGACATATTATGCTACTGGGATTCAGTAAAACTATTCAAAAATTTATCTGATACTTTAATTGAAACACACTCAAACACACACGCACACACTCACGCACACACACACACACGCGCACACACACGGACGTCGATACAATGACATGTTTTGTATGATTTGTTTAATTTTTCGACAAATAAGATTGAACAAAAAAAAACAAATAATGTAATTTATATAATATTATATAGCGTCATGGCAAGCGACTGAAGCGCATCATCATTATTACAACAAGCACACGGTGCATGAATGCACGTGAATTAACACATCACACACTTTTGCATGTGATAAGCGGGGATCTTTTTGCATTCGAACCCGGACACTTCATCAACAATGCCAGGCACCTTAGCCATTACACCATCGCGCTGCCATTAGGCTGCCAAATATAAGCAAAGATTTTTTTCATTTTCTTGAAGTATAACGGAGACGGAAGAGAAAGCTGAGAATTTGTTAGGGACTGTTGGTTTGAATGTGAAGAGATCTCAAGTCTGCTGGTAGCAAAGGATTATTTCATCATTAAGTTATCTACGTCACTTTTATCTTTATTTTTTTTATCTTTATGTCAAAATCCGTGCAAATAGGTTTCCCATGTCGAAGTTGAATTTCTAATTCTGTAATTTTAATACCTTCATGTCGGTCTCGAGAATGAGAAAGCTTCTTCTGCAGTATCTGATGATGTTACTAGCGTTTTTTTTTTGGTTCATCTCTGGTTGTTGTAGTTGCGGTAGAAGTATTATTATTATGGCTGTTATTATTATTATGGTTATTATTATTATGGTTATTATTATTATTTTTATGGTTATTTTTATTATTATTATAATGGTTATTATTATTATGGTTATTATTATTATTACGTCCTACCTCGGGAAACCGGGTCTCTAGACGCAAAACGAAGATTGATTGATTATTATTATGGTTATTACTATTATTATGGTTATTATTACTATTTCACATTCAATCATCGAACTTTTTCATTTTTCTCACCAGTGAATGAGCAGTGAAGATCGCTACAGGAAATTAATGACATATTATGCTACTGGGATTCAGTAAAACTATTCAAAAACTATTCAAAAATTTATCTGATACTAGCTATTTAAATGAATGACAATTACAAACATTGCCCAATAATTAAAAATACTTTTGAAATATCTCCAGTTGATTTCTATAATGACTTTAATCTTTCATTGTTTAAAATTATGTGGCCGGTTTCTTTTAACGACGAGTCGATAGAGACTGTTATAAGGTTATCATACGGCATTCATTGCGACAGAAACAATTTATGATATAAATTTGAATACATTTCACCGCTCTGTACTTTAATTTGAATTGAGCATAATGGTTTTATATTGACATTTTATTATTTTACCATTTCATAGTTTTAATTATTTATTACCCTGGCTTTGAATAAAAGAGTTCTCGTTATTATTAATATGAGTAGACTGTTTAGACTGTTTGTTAATGGAGAAGTAATACAGAGAGGTATATGCTATTTTTTTGGATATCACGAATAAACAGCGATCATTAGCAAACAGAAAATGCCGATGGTGATGATGGTTGTGATGGTCATGATGATGGTTGCGATGATGATATTGATATTGATGATGATATTGATGATAATTATGATGATGATGGTGGTTGTGATGACGATATTGATGATGATTATGAAGATGATGATTATGATGAATGACGTTGTTTTAAAAAGCGACTGAACGATGAGTGAGAGTTATTGCAGTGCGGCGACAACAACATCATTTTCATTATTACCATCAGCATTAACCACTATCATCACCAATTTCATCATCGTCTTCATCATCTTTGATTGATTGATCGATCGATTCACTCATTCATTTATTCATTATATCATTCACTCATCGTTCATTCATTCACTCATTCATTCATTCACTCATTGTTCACTCATTCATTCACTCACTCATTCATTCGTTAATACCCAAATTTGTTTTTCGTGTATTTTATCATCAGTACCATTATCACCACCACCATCATCATCATCATCATTGACCTTTTCCCCTTCGACTTCATTCTGAGCTGATAGAATCCCTGCAGTTTTGAAAATAATATCGGTCCTAAAAAATGAATATTCATTTTAATTTAAATAACAAAATAGCGTAATAATAATAATAACCTTAATTACGATGAAAATAATAATAATAATTTTATGCAAGTTTTGGCTAATTTCGATGAATAAATTGACGCTAATTTATGCAAATTTAGACTAAATTCTATCAAAAAATACATGATCTGTTAGCATCTTGAAACAAAGTATTATAAAATCAATTAATAATAATAATCTTAATAATATTATTATTTTATTATTATTATTATTATACTTAGACTAACTTTTCTCCTTACACCAGATAAGGTATGCAAGGGCCGCGATGAGCATGGCTGCCAGGGACCAAAGGGCCACAAAGATGGCGCTCAGCACGTTAAAACCTGAAGTTAAAACATTCGAAACAAGTGGAAGTTGTTTGCTGATTGGTTGGCGGTTGGCTGGTTGGTTGGCTGGTTGGTTGGTTGGTTGGTTGGCTGGTTGGTTGATGGCTGGTTGGTTGGTTGGTTGATTTTTTAGTGCAGTGATTGTGGTCGTGATTTATTGAAATAATATATATGTATATTATATATGTTTCAATATATTTATGACTTTCCATAGTTTCAGACAATCTTATATTATTGCTAACTTGACTAACTTGCACGTGTTTGCTTTTCGCTTTTTGTCGACTAACGTGTCTTCTAATATTTCAATTAACGGTTTCTTTAATAAACAATTATATTAAAAACAAACAAAGAAGTTTTTTATTTTAAACATGATTGTTAATAGGTTTCACTCACTAAAAAATTCAAATTTAACTGTCAGAGCCGGAGCAAATATTGCATAACTAGGTGTCTCATATAAGTAGCCAATGAATCAACCATTCAAACAAAGATCAATCAATTAACCAATCAATCAACCAATGAACCAATGAATCAATCGGCCAAGCAGCTAACCAATCAACCAACCAATCAACCAATCAATCAACCAATCAATCAACCAGCCAATCAACCAGCCAATCAATCAACCAATCAACCAACCAATCAAATACTTTTTTCCGAGTCCTCAACTAAAAATCTGCAGAAGAGGAAGAGGTTCTCGCTGAAGCGGTCCTCTCCTTCGATCCAAACCCACGGCAGACTGCTGGTCTTTTGAACTTTAGCTTCAAACAATTATCATTTTATAATATTATTAATTTTGTATTAAGATTTAATAATATAATTCTTCTTAAATATTGAAATTTCATATTTTGCTTATGCGAATATGTATTGTATATAAACTTTTGACTAGCAACTCTTATGAAGACGCGCGCGCGCGCGCGCACACACACACACACACACACAAATGAACTGATTCAAATCTGCATGACAGAAAAAAAATTGCCAGCTAGACTACCATCACCACACCAACCACTCACTACCGCCTGAACAATTTTTACTTTTTCATGTTGCGTTCAAAATTCAAACCCAATATTTTTGAAAGGGAATGAAAATTTTATAGTGAAAAAGTCATTGTGGATTGAAGTAATTTTAAGCCTGTCAATGTTTTCTTGCATTTTCAAAGCCAGGCTCTCTGGAAAATGGCTTAAACTGGAGTTTCACTCACGTCAAAAAATTCCACCTTATTGCTTTCACCAGTTTAGCCAATCAACGAAACAATCATACAACCACACACGGGATGTATAGGGTTTTGTCCAATTGCGTCCGACAGCATTATCCTCAAACCAATCATCGTAGTCTTCCATGTCCCTGGTACAACGCCATTGGCTGTTGTTCGAGTTGAAATAACCTGATTCGCTGACGACGGCCAATCCTTTTAGTTGACTCCTAGACGAGACGATCTGAACGCCCAATGCCTCAAGGTGGTTTATTTTTGGGTTATTATTATTATTATTGTTATTATTATTAATTTTATTTTTATTATTATTATTATCATGGATATATCTTATCGTTTTTGTCATGTTTGCACGAAGCATGCTAACTTCATTTTTATGGAGTTTCAAGGTGGTGCCGAGAGGGTCTTCAGGGCTGGCATCGTTGTAGCGACCATCGGCCTCTGCTACGGGTTCTTTGTCGTATCCGACAAATATCAAACAGAGAGATCGACAGTAGATTGTCGTTTCTGGATGTGATGGATTGGTTGGTTTGTGGGTTGGTTGGTTAGTTGGTTGGTTAGTTGGTTGGTCAATTAATCAATCAATCAATCATTTTTTTGATTTGGTTGGTTGATTAACCAATCAATCAATCAATCAATCAATCAATCAATCAACCAATCAATCAATCAACCAATCAATCAATCAATAAACCAATCAATCAATCAATCAATCAATCAATCATTGATTTGTGGGTTTGTTGGTTAGTTAGTTGGTTGGTTGATTAATCAATCAATCTATCAATTCAATCAGTCAATTAACCTTCTCTCAAATCAACTTCGACATTTTTATTCTTGGTCGGCAGTATTTCAACGGCAAATATCAGCACCAAGTTTAACGAATGCATCAAACACACAAACGTCTTCGATACATCGAACTTCATTATAACCGGATTTTTTATTTCATTGGTTGACTTAATCTATTCATTGGTTGGTTTAATTTAGGTTAATTAAATAACCATAATTAATTAATTAATTAACATCTCCAATACATCAAACTTCATTTTAACCGGACTTTTTATTTCATTGGTTGACTTAATCTATTCATAGGTTGGTTTAATTTAGATTAATTAATTAATTAATTAATTTTCAATTTTCGATTTTTTTTCCAAATGAATTAGATATAAGTTAATAATAACTACAACAATGGTGTAAAATGTAAATAACACTGACGATTTGTTTGCAAACACACACTGATGGCGTTTACAAATTTTTTGTTATCTTTGGATTTATTTTTTTAATACAAAGTATATGGTATCGGAGCAATTAGTTTTAAAAATTAATTATCAAAAATTGCATTAAATAAAAGTTATCAAATAAAAGTTATTAGTAAATAAAAGTTAAAATTGCATTAAATAAAAGTTAAATAAAAGTTAAAAAACTTATATATATATATATATATATATATATATATATATATATATATATATATATCAGTATCTCTTTTATAATTTATTAATCATCGTTAATTCATTTTTAATTGTCAATAATAATTTTTATTCCATTTATTCATCTCCTGTACTTTAGTATCTTTACGATATTTTTATATTTTTTTCTTTGCAATACAAAACTTTTTCAGTAACGTCTTTCTACGTGTAATAATATAAAGTATATTAATGGTAAATACCGCAATAATAACAATAAAAAATAGAACATAGACGTAGGCAGGAAGGGCCTTGAGGGCATTGCCAGCCCCTAAAAAAAAAATAAAAAATTACTAGGATTAAGGTGAAATTTGGTAAAATTAGTATATAAATTTGTTAAAACTTATTTCAGCCCGTCACAGTTATAAAACTAAGTTAAATGTTCTTAAGAATAACTGGTTTTAATAGAGGAAAGAGAGATATAAACAAATATAATATTGTTTAATTTTTATTAAAGAGACAAAATAGGTAAAAATTAATACATAATAATAGCATGCTTCGAACAATATAATGCAATTGTGCGTTTTGTGGATAACTTTCACTCAAAGATGGATAATAATGATAATGCTAACTTTGAATCTAAGAAGATTAAACGGTTGAATTATTAATTATTATTATTAATTAATTAATTATTGTTGTTATCTTGTTATATTTGTTATCTTCGCTATTTGTCATTGATTGTAAACCGTTGAATCTTTTCATACCGTAGAGGATTGTAAAATTCTATCGTACACGCGATATAAGCCATAAGGGGTGGCAAATGGAGAGGTTTGAAGAGAAGTTGTAATGTGCTGCTGCTGTTGCTGCTACTACTACTATTACTGCTGCTGCTACTATTGCTACTACTGCTGCTACTACTACTTCTACTACTGCTGCTGCTACTACTACTACTTCTATTATTATTACTACTACTACAGCAATAATAACAAAACATTAATAATAATAATAAAATAATAATGATTTAATAATAATTATAATTATAATGAAATAATAAAACTTATATCCATATTTCTCCCATCAAACAGCGTACAGATTCAATAGCATTCGCTTACCGGAGACGATAAGTAAATTTATTCAAAATATATTATAATTATTATTAATATTATTATTATAATTATAAATAATAATGAGAGGAATTTTTCAATGACTGAAACAGTTTTTTTGACTCGAAACGTTACGTGGGCGTACCATAATTATTTGTAAATTTCAATTCGTGTCTATAGGAATTCTGTGTTGGTGTAACTGTTAAGACGCCCGGCGCTGAAATCCCAGCCTATCACGTGCGATTTGAGTGATGACGTTGATTCACGTGTATTTACTTGCACTGTTTGTCTGTCTGTCTGTCTGCCTATCTGTCTGTTTGCCTTTCTGTCTGTTTGCCTTTCTGTCTGTCTGCCTTTCTGTCTGTCTGTCGGTACTTATGAGGAATGATTAGATGCGAGATCTTTTAAAATTTAGTATTATAATTAATTAAATAGTTAATTAATTAAACAAAATCTGTTGTTGTTGTTAATTAATTAATTAATTTATCATGTATATCATTTAATCAATTAATAGGCGTGACAGTGTTATGCATGAACAACTGCAGCATATTCAGTCCCCCCTTCAGCTATCGGTACGTGGCCGAACCAATGAGTGGAGATGTTTTCACCATGGTGGAAAATGACGTCAGTGAGGATGGCGGAAAAGATGGTGGTGGTTGTGATGATGATGGTGGTGATTATTATGTTGATGATGATGATGACTATGATGATGATGATGGTGGTGATTATTATGATGACGATGATGGTGGTGATGACTATGATGATGATGATGATGATGATGATTATTATGATGACGATGATGGTGGTGATGATTATCATGAGGATGATGATGAGGATGATGATAATGATTGTATCTATTAGAGATGAATCGAATAGTGAATTTTGCCGAAAGTCAAAACAGTGGTGGATTTACTATTTGGCCAAAGTCGAAAGTAGATTACTAAAAAATCTAAAAAAAATTTGAAATAAATCACGTTTTTAAAATAAAATATGCTATTCTTTAATCAGTAACAATTCTCTATCGAGATATCATTCAGTATCTCGCTCAATTTCAAATGCTTCAACAGCCACCGTGGCCAAAATTGGTTTCCCGCTAATGAATTATGAACACTGAAACAGGAAGTAATAGCTAAGACAAAAATCGCTATAACCGACTACTCGAATGTTCGGTCGAACCGTAACTTTTGACAGATTCATCGTCATCATCATCATCATTAATAATAATAATAATAATAATAACAATAATAATAATAATGATAATGTTGACTTGCCCTCGAAACAAAAAAAAAATCCTCTGTCAGACGTTTGAAAACGGTCTATCGAAATAAAAAGCTTTTAATGACGACTTGAACGGCTGTGTAGAGCTGTACTTAACAACAACAACAACACCATCATTGTTTCATCCTCATCAGTTCATGGCAGTGCATATAAGAAGCGTGGATGGGATGAAAGGGGGGGTGGCTATACAATCCCGAGGCGGCAAGTACAACACCGACCTCAGATGGAAGTGTGTCAGCAGTAATTCTGTCGATCCGAACTGGTTGGTTGGTGGTCTGGTTCCGGCTGAATGTGACTTGATTGGCTGGTTGTTTGAGGGATCGTAATGAGATTGGCAGGTTGGTTTATTGGATGTGATGTGATTGGTTGGGTGATTGGTTTATTGAAAGTGATTTGATTAGCTGATTGTTGTTTGACTGAATATGATAAACAGATAGAATTAGCTGGTTTTGCATCTTACATGTGGAAGCATTCTAACAAGGGATTTATAAGACCAATAATGAAACGGTGACGTTGGTGCTGTCTATGCAAATATCCAATCCAGCAGCCAATCAGATCACGCCAGCTCGACTTCGGTGTCGTCTTTAATTTCTTATACACCTTCCTGACTTATACACACATTCATTCAAACGAGCGGTTAAGCCCCGAAACACACTAAATAAGATGAAGATAATTTCAAAATTTTATAATATAAATTTATAATTAATCTTCATTTTATTTCTTATTTCGTTTTATCTCTACCGGACAATCGATCATTTAAATAAACAGCTGCCCCAAAAAAAGATGCAAAATAAGATGAGGATAATTCTAAAAATGCTCTCACGTGATGTTGTTGTTGTAGAGGCTAAATTCCTTGCTAGAATGCTACCAAATGTAACAAACGAAACTCTCAAAGCCAGCTAGTTCCATCTGTTTATCAGTCCAATTCAGTCCAACAACCAGCCACTCACATCACATTTAATAAACAAATTTTTTACGTAGGGTCCAGCCAAGCTTCGACGACAGCAGGTGGCCTGTGGCGATTGTAACGGCCGCAGTGAACGAGTGTGGCTCCGGTCTGAAGATTGCCAAGTGTCCAGATGTCTTCATGAATCAGGGCGCTAAGTGGATCTGGACGAAAAGGTGATAGTGACGATGGTGCTGGTGGTGGTCGGGTTATTAATATAATTATTATTATAATAATTATTATTATAATTAATATTATAATTATAATTATTTCGCGCCAGACTGACGGATGCGAAAACCCCGCATGACAGCTCCCACTGTAGGCTGAAATTTTCCAATGAAACGTCCAGTGAGCGAGTGATGATAGTGATGATGGCGGTGATGATGGTGATGATAATGATGATGATGATGGTAATGATAATGATGATTATGATAATGATAAAAGATAGTAAGTTAAATTGTTGATGATAAAAATCTTATTTAATTTTTTTCTATTTTACGAACATTTTCAACGATGACGACGACATTCACCTCCTACCCAACCATGCATTCGAACCTGGACAAACGAAGTCAGAGGAAAAGGTTACAAGATAGTCATGTGCACTACGATATTGCTGATGTTTATCACCATGATGATCAGCCTCTCAATAGCTTACTACGTCATTGGAGTCATCGATGATGATATGAGAAGAAAGAAAAGAGGTTTGTGATCACGTTGGTGATGACGGTGGTCACGTGATGATGTTGTTGTTGCAGATGATGATGATGATGATCTCGTGACGATGATGACGGTGGTCACGTGATGTTGTTGTTGCAGATGACGATGATGATCACGTGATGATGATGGCGGTGGTCACGTGATGTTGTTGCTGATGACTAGCTATGTTGATGACAATTTTAACTTAATAATTTTTTTAAAATATTATAACTTAATTACCGCAAATGTAACAATTATCGTGAAATCATCATCACTACACCATAACCTCCATATCATCGTCATCATCAGCCCCCTCATCATCACCCTCACCACGTCATTATCTCCATATCATCATCATCACCCCCATCATCATCTTCGTCATCACCATCGTAGCAAGTTCATTCTTCATTCCTCTGGATGAATCAATTAGAACGGCATCCGTAGACGCAAAAATTCCTGCTGAAACTCAAAAATGAAACAAACCATTTTTTACATACGCACGTGAAACTATATCATCAATGAATATATAAATAAAATGACATAAAATCCCATAATAATGAAAACCATAATAATTCTCGTACACTCGTTCGTTCTTCATTCCTTTGTATATGTAATAATTTAAATTATTGCCTTAAATACGGCGAATGAATGTTGGATGGTCGGTTGGTCAAGTCCCCAGCCAGGTTTCATTTGCTTTGTTCAAAGCTGAGAAGAGTCTCCAATGAAATAGATTGACCAGATTAACTTGAAGATTATTTATCTTCACGATTATTTTATTCAATTAATTAATAATTATAGATAAATGAGTAAAAATAATTAATAGACGAATTAGCTAAACTTTGTTTCAATTAGAAAATAATTTTGTTTTCGTGAATTATTTATTTAAACGATGACAATTAACTGAGATTTTACAATAAGGGACAATAAAAACCGATATATATATATATATATGTGTGTGTGTGTGTGTGTGTATGTATGTGTGTGTGTGTGTGTGTGAGTGGTGTGTGTGAACAAACAAACAAACAAAGCTAAAAAAAAGTAAACATACTTACAAATGTTAATAACCATACATCGAAATGATCAATTGTAAATTTCACAAGTAAATACATAAATATATATATATATATACATATAGTTATATATATATATATAGTTGTACATATGTATATATATGTATATGTATGTGTATGTATACCTACATTCTAAAGCGATATGTGATATGCAATTTATTTTAGAAACGTTTGCTAAAGTTAACTGTGGTTATTATTAATTATATTATTATTATTAACAGAAGTAGTTGTAGTAGTAGTAGTAGTCGCAGTAGTAGTTGTCGTAGTCACAGTAGTAGTAGTAGTAGTAGTAGTAGTAGTAGTAGCAGTAGTAGTAGTAGTAGTTGTAGCAATTGTACCAGCTATATTATTTTATTGTTATTATTATTTATTATTGTTATTATTATTATTATTATTATTATAGACATTATTATTATTTTAATATGGTAAAAGTCTGGCAGGGTGTTACTAATGAAAATGTTGAAGATGTATTGTATTATACGGACCGCGGTACAGCAAGTTGGCTTTTATTCATCATCATCACCATCATCATAATCAAAATTACCATCATCATCATCATCATCATAATCAACATTACAATCATCATCACCAGTATCATCATCATCACCAGTATCATCATCATCATCATTACCATCATCGTCACCATCATCATCATAATCAACATTACTATCATCATCATCATCACCACCAGTATCATTTTCATTATCACCAGTATCATCATCATCATTATCACCATCATCATCTTTACAATGATCAACGCAATCATTATCGCCATTGTAATTACCATCATCCTTACCATTACCGTCGTAATCGTAATCATCACCATCATCGTTTTCATCATCACTATCATCATCATCGTCATTGACATCTGGCCCTGATCTCGTCGAGAAATTCATCAAAGTTAGTCTCGCCATTTCTATCCAACGTCTCCTCGATTACTCCCCCAAACCTCAACATCACCTTCCTTTCGTCATCATCACCACCACCATCATCATCATTATCATTATTATTATTATGCTTATTAATCTTGATATCATCATCATCATCGTCGTCGTTATCATTATCGCTTATGAAGGAAGTTGCTGATGAAGTTGATGAGGTTATTGAGGAGAGGGATGAAATCGTGGAAAAGTGATAATCCGATGTCAGTGTTGATGATGATGTTCTTTCTAGGTGCTGATGGTTATGATAACGATGTGGATGTATTTGTTGTTGTGGATGTTGTTGATTTAGGTGATCGTTGTACCTTGGGTCGTGATACAACAATCTTTGTCGCTGATGACGACGCTGTTGAAGCTGGAGCAGCTGCTGTTGTTGCAGCTGCTGTAGATGATGTTGTTGTTGTTGATGATGTTGTTGTAGATGATGATGTTGTTGTCGTGGATGTTGTTGTTGACGATGTTGTTGTTGTTGACGATGTTGTTGTTGATGTTGTAGCAGCTGATGTTGATGATGATTTTGTTTTTGTTTCAAGCCAGCGAACCTCGGTAAACTTTCCCCATCGTTACTCTCGTTCTCAATTTTAAAATCATCATCATCATCACCTTCATCACCATCACCATAACCACAATTATCATCACCATTACCATAACAACAACCATCATCGTCTTCCTTTCTGAAATCATCATCATCATCATCGTCGTCGTCATCATTATGATCATTGTTAATTAAACTACCAACACCATAAACATCATCGTATGTGGCGTTGCTGTAATTGTTGTTACTCACATCATCATCATCACCACCACCATCATCATCACCATCATCAGCATCATCATTATTAACATTATTAACATCGTCATCATCATCACGATAGTAAGAACTCCGGCTCGTTTCATAACCATCTTTCGAAAAATCATCATTGACAAAAATGTTATTATTATTATTATTATCATTATTATTATTATTATTATTGTTATTATTATTATTATTATCATCATCATCATTATTATCATTATCTCCATCGTCATCATCATAATCAGTGATAGTCGGAGAAGCGTAATCATTATCATCAGCACCACAATTCGGACCACGGCGAACAAGCCTTGTAAATTTTTCAATTTATATTTGAGTTGAAATTTTTAACGAAAGATTAATTATATCAAATTATAAATTCATAAAAATAAAATTTTTTAAGTTGAGCGATAAACACCAATCTAAGCCATATGGTTACTCATGCAGACAGACAAACAAACACACAGACAGACAGACAGACAGACATACATACTACATACATACATACAGACATATATACATACATACATATAGACAGACATAAATGCAAACAGACATACAGATAGACCGACATACAGATAGATATACAAACATAAACACAGACAGACATAAATACAGACAGACATAAATGCAAACAGACATACAGATAGAACGACATACAGATAGATATACAAACATAAACACAGACAGACATAAATACAGACAGACATAAATGCAAACAGACATACAGATAGACCGACATACAGATAGATATACAAACATAAACACAGACAGACATAAATACAGACAGACATAAATGCAAACAGACATACAGATAGACCGACATACAGATAGATATACAAACATAAACACAGACAGACATAAATACAGACAGACAACCAGCCAACCTGCAGAGCGAACTATCATACATCTCATCGAAGCACCCCTCCATATCCGTGTATCCACCATCGGCCGTCGAACTTTCCAAAGTTGAATAATTTGTTGATGTACGTGTTGATGATGATACTGTTGTTGTTGATGACGATGATGTTGTTGTTGATGATGATGTTGTTGTTGTTGATGATGATGATGTTGTTGTTGATAATGATGTTGTTGTTGATGTTGTTGATGATGATGTTGTTGTTGTTGATGATGTTGTTGTTGATGTTGTTGATGATGATGTTGTTGTTGTTGTTGGCGGTGATGATGATTGTAGTCTAGTTGATGGTGGCAATTGTTTTCCATATCTATAGGTAATGCTATCTTTATAGTTCACGCCACGCTTATCAGCGTTAATATTAACATTACTACTACTACAAGTATTATTATTATTTTTATTCTTATTATTTTTATTATTGAGTTTATTATTATTATTATCGAATTGTTTATTAATGTTATCATTATTATTGTTGTTTTTGTTGTTGCTATTAGCATTATTTTTAGCATCTCTCAACAATGCTATACCCCTATCAGCGAGGCCAATACCATTGGTCCTACATTTAATCCTATCAGTCTTGTGTTTCTTGTTATTGTTATTATTATTATTATTGCGATTATTATTATTATTGTTGTTGTTATTATTGTTAATATTATTGTTATTATTGTTGTTGTTTCTATTGTTGTTGTTGTTGTTGAAAATATTCAGCTGGTTACAGTAATCGTAAGTGTCGGTTGAGTAGTAACACTCGCATTCGGCTGATGTTAAGTTCAACGATTCCTCGCTATCCAGTCTGGGGAAATTATAGTTGAGAATATTATTATTATGATTATCATTATGATTATTATTATTATGATTATTATTATTATTATTATGATTATTATTATTATTATTATGATTATGATTATTATTATTATTGTTGTTGCTGTTATTTTTGTTATCTGAGCTTTTCTGCCTTGAAATGTTGGCATTTATAGCCGACGTTGATACGAAATTATGATCATTATGATTATTATTCTTATTATGACAATAATTATTATTCTTATTATTCTTATTATGATTATATTTATTATTTATATTATTATTATTATTATTATTATTATTATTAAAGTTGTTATTATTATTAAAGTTGTTATAGTTAGTATTGCAGATTAGTCCATCGAAAATCATGAGCTCTCCGTTACTCAGTGAAGAGTCGAGGAGTGATGAGGACGACAACGACGACGACGACGAAATCATTGCGGCCGCCGCTACCGCCACCGACGACGATGAAGCTGGTGATGATAGTAGTAGCGACGGTGTTAACAACGATGTAACAGATGATGTAGCAGATGATGATGATGATGATGATAAGAATGTTTTTGACGATGAAGATGATGATGATAACGGTTTTGATGATGATGCTGACGATGGTGATGATGATGGTCCGACTGAAGGATTTATAACCCTCAGTAAGGAGTTCATTGAGTTAATGGTTGCCTGCGAAAAAAATGGCTCGTCATCGTCATCATCATCATCATCATCATCATTACCACATTTACTATTATTATTGTTATTATTATTATTGTTGTTATTGTTGTTATTATTATTATCATAATTAGTAGTAGTAGTAGTATAAGTAATATAATTATTATTATTATTAATTTTGGCATTATTATTTTTATTATTATGATGATGATTAACTTCGTTGGCAATCAACCAGAATGAGGACGGTGAGTGAAAAGATGAGGATGATGATGAAGAGAATGATGATGAAGATAACATCATGGCGATGTTGGATCGAGTTTCGGCCAAAGTTTCATATTCCAACGATGATGATGTTGTTGTTGCTATTGGTAATGATGATGTTGCTACTGATGATGATGATATTGTTGTTGCTACTAATGATGATGATGTTGTTGCCACTGATGATGATGATGTTGTTGTTGCCACTGATGATGATGATGTTGTGT